AAAAAAAAAAAAAAGGATTGGAACGATACAGAGAAGATTGATTAGCATGGCCCCTGCGCAAGGATGACACGCATAAATCGAGAAATGGTCCGAATTATTAAAAAAAAAAAAAAAAAAAGGTCTGCAAAATGTCTCATCCACCTGCATTCTGTTCGCTGCAAGCCACGTTCACTGATTGCAGCCCTGAAAATGAACGTATACGAGCAATGTTTCCCGCCCTCTACAGGCCTAACATTTTGGCCATTTGGCTGTAGGCGAAGGCCGATCATTGGCTTGATGTGAGATTGCAGCCCCTCCAGTCCAGTCTGACAAATCTCCGCTTCGCCGAAGGTACTACACACTCATTCTTCTCTGATTTTCAGAGAATCAGAGCTTTGTCAGACTGCCTGAGGAATCAGAGATTTGTCACACTGCCTGAGGAATCAGAGATTTGTCAGACTGCCTGAGGAATCAGAGATTTGTCAGACTGGCTGTCAGTGAGGAGATGGTGGTCATTGGTCCGACACTCTCCCACGAGATTCCACTTGCCACTTGCCCTTGTGCGACTTCTAATGCTGTGGCTGCTGAGGGACTTGTTTGAGATTATAGCCCGCTTTTGGGCCTATATTCCAGTAATGTCATCTCCTGTGGTGGTGGATCTGCCACATGCCAACCCCAGAGCAGGGGGGATGAGCAGGCCGTCTGTGCAAAGGCTGGATGCCAATCGGACATGAGAAGGTCTCCTTCTCTTTCCCTTTTTTATTATTATTATTATTATTATTATTATTATTATTATTATTATTATTATTATTATTATTATTTACTCTTTCCCTTTCCCTTACTTCCTGAGGGGGCATGGTCCCACAAGCAACCGGATAGGATAGAAAAGAGTTTGTGTGGCAGTTGAGTGACCCAAATCCTGCCGTGCAGTAGCCGTGATCCCACGGTCAGTGTTTTACATGTATTACCCGAAAAAGTAAGGAGATCTTGGTTCCCCTCCTCCTCTCCTTAACACTGGGCATGCCGGTACAAAGGAAGCTTCCCGCCAAAATCTTTTCAATCCGTTGGGGGCATGGCCAACCCCAAAAAAAAGCGGGTCGGCCATAGGCCCACTGATAGAAGATTTGCAGTATTTTGCTTGCTGTTGTGCAATTATCTCATTGGGTGGAGCCCTCCTTCAATCACGGATTATATGGAGGGTGTCAGGATCACTGCTGACAGAAGTCGAGTTTATTCCAGAAAATGTGGCAGTTACTTTCTGCACTGTTGTTGCAACCACCACCATCAGATCATTTGTGATCTGATGGCTGGGAAGCACTCTGCCGTGACTTCAGGTGGGAGGGCTCTGTTTCTTTTTTCTTTTTCTTTTTTTCTTCTTTTTTTTGTCTTTTTTTTTCTTTTTTTGTCTTTTTTTTTTTGGAAAGCTTGAAATTATATTCCAAAGTAGCAACAGAAGGAGGTCGGGGACCTCACAATTCCACCCGGAGTTATCCTGGCAGCCTCAGCCRGTTTCGCTTACCAAACCCAGCTTAGCTAATGACGAATTGAAAARCTMAGWAAAACTCCCACCACTATAGGTCCACAGGACCAAAACCTAGCTGGAAATCCGGTCCAGCGTCCCCTCCTACTTCATTTTCCAAAAATAAGCTTTCCAAAAGTAAGCTTTGACGCACAGAGTAAAAAAAAAAGGTGAGGTAACAGATACAAACTAGCTCTATACTTCCAAGCTCTGTCCTTTAACCAAAATACTCCCACCCATGCGTAAAACCAGGCAGGATGGGGGGAAAGTTCAATGCTCACAGTGGGGTACTAATGCGTTCCTCATGACCAATCGTGGCCAAAAACCAGGAACAAAAGGAGACCTTACCCCTATCATCAATTTTAGACAAGCCAAAGTCCCTTCCCCAAGTATCCCAAAACCACTTCCGTTGATTCAGGCTTGTTTCAGTTGTCGTCTGCCTACGCCTTCGCCAATCACACAGAATCGTCCTTATTATTTTTGAAGCAATCCGTTTCTTAATTTGATTGTCCGACATGAACTGGCGGTGAAACAGTTGATTATTCCTATCATCCCAGATCACCTTCATAATGATTGCTCTAGTCACCAAAGCGACGTACCTCCATTCACCCTTCCCAACCACACAGCCTGTTAAAATCCACTCATCCATCCAACTGAATTTGTTTTTCGTGATCTTGTCCCAATGATAAATCCACCAATCCCAGATCCGCCGAGAAGCAGGACAGGTGACCCATAGGTGCTTTGTGGTTTCCCATCCCCATTTGCATTTGATACAAGTCATAGAGATCTCCATGCCTTTTGCCACTAACCAAACAGCTGAAGCTGTAGCCAGTAAGGATTGTTGCCAAAGCATACTAGCCAATTTTTGTGAGGGTATACCTTTCAGATCGAGCCATAGGGACTGCATCAGATCCAAGGAGATAGCCGGCAGGTCTTGTTCAGACCGTCTCTTCAGCACTGTAGTATATGGNATACCTTTCAGATCGAGCCATAGGGACTGCATCAGATCCAAGGAGATAGCCGGCAGGTCTTGTTCAGACCGTCTCTTCAGCACTGTAGTATATGGTTGCTTCTTTACTTTAGACCTCAGCGATCCAACACCCACTTTGGGTTTGTACTCATCTAAACAAATCCGTTTTCCCGTCTGAGTGCTCCACCAACCTACTGCAGATACGTGGGTACCTAGTGCACTCACTGGTCTACCATCCGCAACTAACAGAGTCTTCGTCCGAGTAGACTGTTTATCCTGCTGGCTTCTCATAGTCCGAACTGCAATTTCTTCAATTCCTTTCATAGACACCAACTTACCTACCTGTTGCCCCAGGGTAAATTTCCTTTGTGAATGTTGAGTCTTCCGCCCTGTGCCACTCGATTGCTTCCAATCCTCCTTCTAAAGCCGGGCCCTTGATCTGCCAGACATCATAACCTCCATGTTCATTGAGTTTCCTTCCCCATAGTCCATCTCCTGGTATGGAGTCCGTCCGTAGAATTCTCACCCAGTCTTCAGGAATAGCCTGAACCAGTCTCTGCAGCCTCAATTGCACGTCCCTAGTTCTGAGCAGTTTCTGCCTTAAAGCTGACACCTCAACCCAGTCTTGCTTGTCTTCGTTCCAGATATCCTTAATCCTGACTACGCCCCGCTCTATCCAAGC